TATTTTTATTTTTAAGAGATGAATGTTTCTACAGGTGGAGTCATGACTAAGACACAAAATGAGAGCAAATGATCAAATGTTGATGTTTTGTTAAAAATATTCTATCTTCATTTTTAATTCAGCTTCAATTTATTCTCATGTTATCTCAACTTGGAATGAATTAGGCTGACCTATAAAAATGTCTGTCTATTAAACATGAGGTTACATGAGACTATACTATAGAGGCTACAAAGCACGTGTGTAATCCTGGGGATGTATATTTTTTACATGAAATCATATTATAAATTTTCTCATTGGTTTTTAAAGGTATTCTTTATAAGCAGCTTAATAAAGCAGAAAGTTCAAAGGTGTCAGTGACAGGCCAAATTTGAATACCATCTCAGCCCTAAATAACTTTATGACCTTGGGCAATTATTTAACGTCACTGAGCCAAAACTATACAAAAATAATACTACTCAGCAGAGCTGTTAGAGTTAATTATGATAGTATTAAAAGAATGCCATGGATACAAGAGGCACTAGAAAAAATACAGCTCTCTGCTCTTCACATCTAGACAGTGGAAATTATAATGAAATTATCACTTACCTAGGGTTGTAGTAAAAGGCTAAAGTGAACTTACATTACAAGTAGCAATGCAATGTGTAAAGAATAGCCATTACCATTGCCACCTATGCTGTTGTTGTTATTGTTACTATGTGGATATTAAGGTTTCACTTCCAGCAAAACTGCCTTCTGAGGGAGTAGGAGAGGCATATTCCTGCGAATTTGCTTGGTAAATTCAAAGATAATTTAGGATCCTAAATTTTAAAGTTTGGCAACTTGTATGGGTACATAAGCCAGAGGCATCCAGTGAACTTTTTCTGCAGTATATAAACCAGGGTATTTTTTGAATGCAAGTCCCATGTTTAACATGAGACAGGTATAATTAAATTTGACTAAACACCACTGTTTATTTAGTGTCATAAATCTTCAGTGCATGTTTACTTAAGAATTTCAGCTACATTTTTAGAAAAAAAATGCTTCCGTCTCCTTTGAAACAAGGGCATGTGTAATTTGCGTGGGGATGGGAGCAATGGCCCAGATGGTCTGAAAGAGACCCCAGTCTACTTCCGAGAACCTGCCCCTCAGAAAAGCCACAGCTCCCTGGATTTCTGTACAGTAGCTAAGAAGCAATGGGAACCATCTGCTGGCAATGCCCCACGGGGAAAATTTCCCCAAGATGCTTGAGTCTTTAAGAAAACCTCAAAACCACAAATCTTCCAAAGCCCAATGAGATCTAAAATTTCCTTTCTAGGATTCCAAAATGTTGTAAAACCCAGAAATCCAGAAGCAACGGCCAAAGCCCTGGGTGATCATTGCCAGCTCTGTGCCACGCACGTAGAAGGCAGGTTTAAATCCATCAAATTCTGAAATATCCTTAGAAAAACTCCTATGGAAACATTTCATGTTACCTGGTGTGGAGAAGAAAATCTCTTTTCATATGTCAGCCTGCTTCCCTCCAAGGAGAAACGGAAGCCTTTCCTCCGGATGCTGTCTTCAGACTCCGACTTTCTGACTTTCTCATCCTTCTCTTCCTCACCAGACTGCTCTTTCTGTTTCTTTTTCTTTCTTCTGTTTTTCA